GCTCTGTGGTGAAACTTTAAATATTGAGGAAGATATGCAAACAGAAATCAATGATATTAGCAGATACAGATGTCGACATTACAGTTCTGTCTAATGCATAGGTGGGGTTTGAGGTTAAATGTCACCTGAGAAACGCTTTCACCTTTAAAATATCAAGTATGGTTGCTTAGAAACCTATCCTTCCAAAAGCAAATTGTGGCGGAATGCTACAAGTTCTTCAAATACCTATAGAATGATAGGTTTCTTTTTTTGTGAGTGTAAAACACTTAAATACACCATTTCGATATTTTCACCTGGTTCTTTCAAAACCAGTATTTACTTGATTCTTATCTCTGTTTGATGTCCGGGTCGACAATGTTCCGATCTCCCTTTCCGACTCCGTGAACCTATCTTGGCATTGTCTTTGATAGGCAACTTACTTGGAAGCCATACCTTTATTTTATAGTTTATATATATAAAGATATATATATATATATATTTGTGTTTAATAATGTATGTAAAAATGATTTGAATTTTGTATTATTCACATAGATATTATGAACGACTGTGATGCTTATGCCAACTGTTAAGCTCATATATAAAATTTCTTAATACATTTATGGAGATTTTGGTTTATGCTTATCTTTCGCAAAGTTTCGTTTTCTAACTAAACATGTTTTAAGCATAAGCGTCAAATAATGGTGCCACTGTTTTATTTTTCTCTCGAACGTTTCGCTGACGTTCAGATACATAATCGTATTTCCTCATCTTTTAAGGAAACCCCACAAACTTAGTTGTTGAAGTTGCACCAGATGCTCCTCCCGGCACAGCAGAGCTTGAAGTCAAGGGTGAAATTACTGATTCCGCGGAAAAGGAAAAGTGTACATCCGACCACAAAACACTGTTGTACTAATACAAACAGATAAACCTACGTATAAACCTGGCCAGAAATGTAAGTATATCAATATAGAAATATATTATCGATCTTGTCGTGTCTTACATTTATGAAATAACAATAAAGTTCACAAAAGTGTATAAGTTTATTCACTAAGTAAAAAACATGTTGTTAAGAAATTAATCAAATAATTTGTTGTTACTATAAAACTAGTTTTGAATATCGCACGTGACTTAATAACCTACAAAACAAGTGTTATGTTCTTATTTTTCTTTTCTCAGCGTTGTAAAATTAATAATATAAAATTACTTAAAATCGAAGAAACGTCTAATCAACAAATTATATATTTTGGTATAAATATTTGTTTATAAAGTGTGTATTGTAGTTCTTTTATTTTTTAAAGTTCATTAACCAGTTTATAGTTGAAAAACGTTTAGGCCGAGATTTATTACATTGTTCTCCTTTTATTTCTTATTTCAAAAATAAAATACTTAGGTATCTATAGTAAAAACTCATAATTGTAACAATCCTAAATTTCTAAACATTTGTTATTAAGTGAAAATCAAATGCGAACTGAATTTTTGCACATTCTTAAGATAATCTGATACAAGTAAGAGAGGCTTGTGAGTTCATTTGAATAAAATAACTTCGATAACTTTGAAAGTTAATTCTAATTTAAAACAATTAGGCTATTGCAGTGAAACATATTTCATGATTTATTCAAATATAGGAATGTTTATGTTAATAAGTTGTTAATTAGACATGCCATAATTTTAATGATTTGAAAAACAAGTCAACGTCGGTAATGTATTCTGTCTTATAAAGTAATTTATAACTCAATTTTTAAAGTCCTTGATATTCTTCACGAACAAAGTTTTTATTTCAGTGCTGTTTCTCGTGTCTCCTATGAACGCAAATTTACAGCCGATAGGTGGAGCTGATGAAACGGTGAGAAAAAGTTGTATCTTATTCTTTCCAATGCAAGTAATTACAAATTAATTTCTTTATTTCATATTACTCGTGCTACTTATTGTCCTCAGTTTTCATTCTGTTATAGAGTAAGTTGTATGTAAAACTAATGATAATTATTTTAATGTTATTAATTCCAATAAGTGTATTTAATGAGTGAATGTTTAGTGACTTTCAACATATTTAAATATCTCATGTGATTTTGGAGATATTGTTGTACATGAAAAAGCACAATATTTTCTATGTCTTTATTGAAATTCTCAAAATTTATTTTAGATGAACTCGCTTTTAGAGTCATTACACTTTTACAGATATAAAACCAATTTTGTAAGGTACTGACTCCACTTCGTGTGCTAGCCACGGCCTGTGTTCTACTTAGGTATTTTTAGACATTTTTCACGAACCATCACGATATAGATTTATTTGAGGATCTGGTATCTCTATTTTGTCTGGTTAAATTGCCATGTTTAAGCTTAGAATTGTCTGGAGGTTAAACTCTTTGTACTTTCAATTGAGTCTGAAAGTGAGAACGAATAAAATGTCATAGTTTTCTTTTTCTAAAACAGAATATTTATCATAATTTCTTCGGACTAGGATAGAGAACTCAAATCCGGTTTTTTTTTCTTCTTCTTTTTTTATATGAAAGCGCTTAACTACTCTTAGTGCACTGGTCAGTATTTTGACATATTGTATACATAGAAAAAAAAGATCAGTTTTACTTTAACAAATTTCTTTTTTTTTCAATTCTGTGACAGTTAACCTATTCTTCCTGTTATTTGCAGTTATTATCCGAAAAGTAAATCAGTGTATGTGAGAATGTCTAATAACTGAGTCTCTACTTAGCCTAGACTAGATACACGTGTTAGCGTATTACAAACAAATTATAAGAGTTGAAATTAAAGCTGATTTGCCTGTAAGTTAATAATTTCCATACACATGCATAGATTTTCATCTTACCTACCTTATTGTACTCTAGAATAAATTTCTTGGTCAAATGAACAAGAATCGTGACTGCTTTCTGTTTCACATGCTTGCATAAACGACATTGCACCTCAAGAAAATGTTATTTTTATTAGTACATCATAAAACTAATTCTGTTGTGCAAGCCCTGCCTTGAATAATGTTACACAAGTGTTTAATTAAGCTACAAAGCATAACAGTTTACAATATTAACATGGAGAGAAACTTGACGTTGTCTGTTAATCTAAGTTTGTCTATGATTGTATTTTTCGCGCACTCTAGAAAATCGGAGGTATGATGGACTTTAGGTTATCTATTAGTATCGTCTTTTAAGATAAGCATTTTATATATAACGAGTATATTATATGTTTACTTCTTAATCCTACTAGTCCAATTTTGTCATACTGAGCCTGTAGCCATACCAGCGTTTATAATGAAGAAATGTTTGTGATATTTGAAATAGTCCATGATAAATGGGATCTTGCAGGTTACAGTAACTTTTTTGTGTGTGTTGTCAAGTATATTTGATTCAGTTGTGCCATTAACAAATATCTGAAAAACGTATTATTATTATTTTACAGAACGTAATATGGGCTGAAGATCCTTCAGGTATACGAGTTGCACAATGGAGAAATATGACGTTTAAAAAAAAGGTGAACATTGTTAAAAAAGTTAGAGTATAAATCTTTCAAGATAATTTTATGAAAGGACAACTATAATTCTTACCTAATTCACGTATACAATAATTTTTCTCTCCTCAATTAAACTTACCAGCTTCTTACTCAAAATCAATAAATTAGGTAGCCTGGGTGTACGGCTCATATATCGACCCATTTCGTGCATCTTACAAACCAATGAAGTGACAGCTGAGAATGACGGCATTAATCCACCAATAGCTTGATAAAATACTGTACTCTTATAAGTTTTTTGTCGTTATAAATATTTTACTTGACAATTTCACTGTCACATTAATATATAAACAACTCTACCAGTACGAGGTTTATTTTTAAATGCACACTAAAATGAAAACAAAAGAAAAAAATATGTTTCACTATTTTATTACTTATCCGAAACAATATAGGGATTTTTTCATAATTGCAATAAAATAATTTTGAGGCACTGAAACACGTACGTATATATAAACATGAAAATACGAGATCTGTTAAGCAGAAGTAATAAAGATAATAAAAATCACTAGCACTTTTTTGTTGAGTTAAAATAGGTCTCCACCCTTGAATAGAAATTAGATATGGAATAGTTAAGAGAGGCTTCAACGTAGTAATAGAAACATATATATAACCAATTTAAATTAAAAATTACTTCATAAAGACGTTTGTAATTTTATACCATTTTTATAACATGAAATCAATCTTTATTCAAAGTGAAATTATTCCGGATTCTAAGCAATGTTATAATAATTATTATGAACATTGTTATAATAGTTATTATAAGTATTGCTATTCAGTAAAGCATTCTTATTGAAGATCAGAATCATAGCAAGCCTATAGAGAACAGGCTCTTTTGACAAAGACATACTAAACTCTCTCACTCCTGGGAGATACAGAAATGTAGCTTTAATGAACTCCGTTGTTAAACAATAAATTTAATTTTATATCTACTTTAACTTTGTAAATAATGATAATAAAATTATAGCCCAAACTACTTTTTGTATTATGTTAAAACTCATATATTTTTTAGCGAAAATCGTACTGTAGAAATGCTACGCAAGCTATTAAGTTAGATATTTCACCGCCATGCGCACATATATGTCACATGCTATATAAAATTTTTATCCTCTAAAAGTATGTAATATTAATCACATGGTATTCCCAGTCCAACCTCTTAGTGTTGACCAATTTCAAAAAAATAGCAAAATGATGCAATATTGTGATTGGGCAAGTAAAACGTAAGTCAATATTTCTGGTTATTTCCTCACCTGATCTATAGTAGTCATACATGTAGGCTTTGGCAGGTTGTGCGTATTCCACGACAATTTTCTGCACAACGTTGAAAATGTAGCATCTGCGAATCTTGGGAAGCTTTGAAAGAAGTTTGTATTAAACGTTTGTTTTTAAATACAATACTCATGCACATAAAATTTACTGCATTCAGCTGCGGGACAAACATTTTTCGTGCAAAATTTGTAATGTTTGATTAGCATGACACAAAACTTAATAAACCATTAAACCGACATTTATACAGGGTTAAATACGATAATATAGTTAGACAAAATACTGAACCAATAGCCAAATCGAAGCTCAGAACGTGTTTAAACTTTCACATTTGATTTGGATATGTTATGTTTCTCTGCTACACTTTTCATCTACAGTCATAACCTCTGCCCTCAAGTACTACTGTACTTCTGAGACTTTCATCCGAACTGAGTGAAATTCAACAGTGAGTGTTAACCTTAAACTTCACTGTTTTTTATGTAAGATTTTAAGTTTCTTTCAGAATTCAGCACGCAAAAGTAGTTTCACAGTTTGCATAAAATAAAATTTTCAAACGTGTTTTAAATATATTTCAAATCTAATGTTTCCAATTGTTGTTATGCATGTTTCAAATTGTCAGAGTAATCTTCAATTTGTTTAGCGAAATATTCTTAATAATAAACTTTATTTTATATTCAGCGAGTTTTATGTTCACACAGTATTTATATTCTAGATATTCTGCTTAAAATCACTACTTAGAAAAAATTAAGAAAAGAGTGGTCATCAACCAATAAGGTTACAATTGACAAATGTCTCATTAACAACCCAAAAACTACATTTTCTAATGAATGCACATAATATTAATATGTATTCGGGTTTTTATGTAGTTCGTTGGGAAACTATTTACCAAAACAAGTAGTACAATTATTTTTCTGTTTATCTTGCATGTGATGAATGGATAAAAAATAAAAGACTATATTAATATACAACGTTCGAATCTATTAGCCAGTAAAGGAAAGTGGATATTAATTATCAAGAGAGTGTATGCAAAACTTCCTCAAGCATCAGAATGGGGTGGGAACTTTTGTGTTCAAAAATGGTGAAAATACCATCATGTTATAAACTGATGGTCTTTTAACGTTATCCTGAAGATTACTTAAATCTATCTGTCCTTCTGTTGTTGTTTTTTACTACTTTGAAAAGTTTCCTGTACTAATTAATATTTTCTAGATATCATTATTTCTCTGTTTTAATAAATAACCGATACTCTAAACCTGTGAGGTGCATGGTTTGTTTGTTTGTATGTTATGGATTACTATATTTTAGCATATAGTTAAATGTCAATCAATAAAAAAATTATTTTCAATAATTTTGAAAACAAACATTGGTCACAGAGAAATGCAATGTCATGATTCTGATTTACTGAAATCGGTATTTCTAACAGAGCTTTCGTATAACAAATAGTTTTCTAACTATTATCCTAAAATAAGTCATCATTCAGAAAGATTGTTTTTTTCTGAAACAAAAAGGGTTAACTAATTTCCAATAACATTGTTTATCTATTCTTTATCTAGAAATGTTTTGTACTGTAGAAACAAAAATACGTAACAAAGATCTAGTCAGTAAGTTGATTTTAACAGCTTCACATTTTAATAATTTTTCATTTTCCTTATTGAATGTAATTTTCATTTCAAACACTAGGTGGCAGAACATTCTAGGTGAGCCAATGAGAGTCTTCTCAATGCATAAATAGAATCTCTGCAATTAGAGTTAATGAATAACACAAAGAAAGACTTAAAATAAAATAATATTTTTCAACTAGTTCTATTCCTTAAGAAATTGATAGCTTTGTGAAAAAGAAATTTGAGTTTGAGTTTATTTAACACCACTATATTCATTTTTAGCAAACCTTGAATGTAATTTCAATTTTATGCACTAGATGGCTGCAACTTCTCTGTGATCGTATGAGAGTCTGTGAATGTGTAAATAAATTCTTTCCAATTAGATTTTAATGAAAAACATAAAGAAAGTGTTAAAATAAAATATCTTTTATCAAATAGTCCAATATTTTAGTTAAACAACAGCTTTCTGAAGTATAAATTTGGGTCTGAATTCACTTATCGGCTCGTTTTTTTTTCTTAGCAAACCTTATATTAAGTTGTTTCTTTGCTACAAATTTTAGTGGAGCCGAGCCTGGCAGCTGTGTGGGCGTGCATGATACAATACTACAAACCTAGAATCCGTATAGTGTCCTCCCTATTAAGTGCTCTGACCCTGTTATGGGGTCATCAATTGTGTGCACACACACAGTAAGTTGGGTTGGAGGTGGAAAGCGTGGGTTCTGTAAATGACCCCTTAACGCATTTATTGCATGTACAAAAATATTCATTTTGGCTAAAAATACTTATTTTATTTCTTTCATTAAAAATATAATTTTCTGTTAGTAGCAAGAGGATTTAGTTTTTTTTAACCCATTGTTATTTCCGATTGACGAGTGAAGGGTATTTCTGGTGAAGGGCTTGATTTAAACATTCCAGTTGCTGACTATAAATCTCTACATTGACATGGACTGAGGAGGTTCAAAATGAATTACTCCTTTGATGTTCCACCAAATGCAAAGACATTATTTTTGGCATTTAATATTCTGTCCAAAAATGGATAGAGCATCAATATCAATTTCACCATCTCGGCCCCTCCCATCACAGTTTTTAAGGTTAAAGTCACCTGAACGAAATTTGCTGAACCTTCGTTGACATTGAAAAATATTCCAAACATTTCCATAAACTTCTTTCATATTCTTTGTGGCTACAGAGGCAGTGTTTCCCTTCTTGTATTCAAAAAGCATTACATGCCGAATGTGTGCCATCACAATAAGAGATAAGAGTATACTAAACTTTACACATTATATAGGTTACACTAATGTCATGTTAACTTCTTGACGACCTAATATATATTGCATGTA